GACGGACAGCGCGGAGTTCTGGTATGCCACGGTCTTCAACGAGGCCATGGGCGGGGGCTCTTGGATAATCGGCGTCGTTCATTTGGGCCGGAAGTGTTTGGGTAGCCCCGCAACCCGCAACCCCGTTTGCGGGCGGGTTTTGGTCGGGGCCAAATTCCAAGGGAAGCCGCTGATTTTGGGTTCCCGATTTTGAGAGCACCCTTGTGGGTATGTCGTAAAATGGACTCCAAACTGGTGGTGTTCTTTTCCCTAAAACGCCCTCAAAAGGGCACCCTCAAAAAGCAGAACCCCACGCTTTCTGCTTTGATGGTTCAAGTGAGTGTCCCTTTGGTGGGGTGATGCTTCAAGCGGAAATATGGGGAATCCCGCTTGTCACTCGGGCGGCTGGGTCCAATTGACATGATGATCAGCATAAGGAGCGTAATTAGACTGCGAGGCATACGGCGCCCGATTTTTTTTGAGGGCCCCCTGTGTTTTGGTGGCACCATTTTGGGCGGTCCCTACAAAAGACACTCATAGTTCCTGCTTTGGGTAGGCCGATGTTGATTGAGCTTCTCTTTGGGCTGATGTTTGAAGGGAACACATGAGGAACTCAGAGTCACAGGTGCGACAATATTTGTCTTTGAGTTGGCATTGATTTCTGCGTGTTATGGGAAAGTCAAAAGCGAGCACCTTGTTTGCATTGGTACCCCTTAAAACGGAGGCGTCTTTCTGAGGCGTTTTTCTTCTGAGGCGTTTTTCTGAGGCGTTTTTCTGAGGAGTTTTTGTTTTTCCTCAGTGTTTCAAGCTTACTTTTTCAATTAGCACCCTGAAAGAAACTTGGGTCTTAACTTGGTTTCCCGGCTTGTGACACCCTACACCCTGGGTTTCGAGGCAGGTCATAGTCTTAGCGGTTGTGTTGGCTTGTGAACCTCCTTTTTTTGGAGAATCATGATCATGATTTGGGTTGAGATTCATATGTTGTAGAAAAGGAATAGGGTTTGAGTGTGTTTTTTGGATTGATGAGTTTTCTTTCTTTTTGGTTAATTGTTATTTTATGTTTTATTATCATATTATTTTTTCTTTTATTTGTTATTTTATGTCTTTTTCAATTTTGATTGTTTTCTTGGCCCGCTGGTTTTGAGGTCTCCGCCCCGCTCGTGTTCGCCCCCCGCCTGTGGTCGAGGTGAGCAGCTGCTCGATGCTGCGGGTGAAGTGGCTCTGCCTGGTGCTGCTGCATGGGCTCACGGGGCGCATGGCGGTGAACGCCATCAAAGACACGGCGAGTCTGGAGGCGAATCTGGACGTCCCTAGAAGCTGAGAGAGTTGCGATGAGAGAGAGTTGCGCTGGCTTTTGTTTCTTTTTTCTCCGACGGCCGCGACTTGCTGAGAGTTGCGCGGGCGTTTTGGTTGGGCGGTCGCTTGGAGTTCTTGGACGGAACATGTCCACAGTGGTGTGCAAAATTGGGAGGGACATGATGTCACCGGAAGAGACATTTTTTTGGGGCCAGAAGTTGGCTGTAGTTTAGGGGTAGACAATTTCCCTCGAAAGGGGGCCGTTCTGGTGGGTTCCATTTTAGAGGACCGGAGGGTAAATCTTAAAATCAGACATTAAAAACGGTCCCCTATAAAAACAATCCAAGTTGAGCTTGTCTTTTTTTCTTCGGGGACTCCCGGGAACACCGGGAATCATTCACACCCGGGCTCGGTGGTTTTTCACCGTGCGAAAGAGCTGCCCTGCAGGAGCTGCCGCTGGGCGCGAAAGACTACAAGACCTTTCAGGAGTGACGAAAGCTTCGCCCTGGCGGAGAGAGAAAAAGCGAAACAGGTGTGATCATAATATGAAGAATAACGATATTAACAAGAATAAGAAGAATAATGAGAAAAATAGGAAGAATAATAGTAATTATACTAACAATACGAATACTACTAATAGTACTAATAATACAAGTAATGCTAATAATACCAATACTACTACTAACAACAAAAGTAACAATAAGACAATGTGATTTTCCAGTTGGTGTCCGTTGCGCCAACCTGAACAATTGTGATGTTCGGCTTGGCGTGCCTTTGCACCAACCTGAACATGTGATTTTCTGTTTGGTGTGCCTTTGTACCAACCTGAAAAGGGTACCCTGAAAAAGAGACACCCAAAAAGCCGGTCGGCGAAATAGGGCGAGCCCTTTGTTCGGAGGGCACGCAGGGTTATAGTGTGGTTGGACTTGAAAGGCAGGGCAAAGGGAAACCGAAGCCGTTTTCTTGGGGTCGATGCCCTGGAGACAAACTGGATGTCAGGGTTTGATGGACACTTCAAGGATTTTCTAACTCCACCGGGGAACATCGTTCCCCTAGTCAACAGGGAAATAAGCGAAGATCGGAGCGTGAGAAGAGCGTGTCTTCAAAAGGACAGGCCTGTGACTTGCGGAGCTGTTCATCGGGTTCGAGACGTTGGTTTTGCATCTTGGGAGAAAGAAACAAGACTACGGGCGGAAAGGCGAACACAGGCAGCCAAATGGATCTAGGATCCACTCAATCACATATTTCCGAGCTTGCCTTGGGACCCTGACAATTCTGGGGGCCCAGAAATGCTCCAATCAGAACCCCGAGAGCTTAGTGAAGGTTTGAACATCCGCATCGTGGCCGAATGAGTTGCGTGGCGCTGGGTAGAGCTACACCTTGCCCCCCCCTCTTGTCACTCAGGCTGAAAACGCGCACCATTGGACACTCAAAGGTGACGTCTCTGAGTACCATCTAATATATAAATATATATATATATATATGTTCCAGGCCGTGCACCACCCCTCCCCGGGGTTGGGGGTTGGGCGGGGTGGTTGGCTGGTTGGCTGGTTGGCTGGTTGGTTGGGTGGTTGGGTTGGGTGGTTGGGTTGGGTGGTTGGGTGGTTGGGTGGTTGGGTGGTTGGGCGGTTGGTGTTGCACTATATATTTATACACACTATATACATACATATACATACACATACATATATATATATGTATATATATATATACATATACACACATACACCCCCCCCCCAAACCCGCGCCTGCTGCTTGTATAGCGGGGTCAAGTCATTCTAGACAGATATTACCAAAAGTGGACTCATTTCACATTTTTGGCAGACTTTCGCAGATGATTCATTCAGACTTTGCCACTCAAATAAATAGCAATTGCTCTTCTACTTGCTGAACAAATTGTCTGTGGTATTCCTCCTCTCAATTTGTGTAATCATTTAGTACATATTCTGGTCATAAAATCAATCTATTTGAACACAAGTTAATTGGACAATTGGCATCATAAGCAAAGATTGGTACAGCGTAAAAGCGAAGTTAGGTAACGTGTCATATCACACAGGGTCTAGACCATAAAATGTCATACATCTCCGAAGTTTTCAAGATTCAAGATCTAGAGTCTTGGGAATCAGGAATCTTGAATGATAGATCCAATTCAATATCCAAGGGTTGGTGTGGAGTTTGTGCATTAAAAAACATATCCAATCTCCATATGCTGCACTATTTACTGTATTTATCGCGCACAAGTCGAAAAGGATAATAGCGTGCACACCCAAACAGGAATGACTGAAAGCAGACGCGATTCCCAGGACTAGATCTTGAATCTTGAATCCAGTATGCGACCCCCCCAAAACGCTTTAACGCGCTTTAAAGCACGTTTTGTGCAGAAGATATTTTGTTCAGGGACGCGTGGCACTGGTCAGGGCCTATGAGGTGTGAGCAGATGTGTTGCTATCGGCCGAGGTTTGTGAGCTGACAGAGGAAGGGGACTTGCAGATGAATTGAGATGAGAGATGAAGGATGCGTAGCAGATGTTTCAGACGAAGAGGATTTGCACATCCGTCGAAGCAGAAGAGGTATGGTTTGCCTTTTGTTTGGTACACTTGCGCCGGTACCCTCCACAGAGATGTTTTGCAGCCATTTGAGCGAGGATAACATTTGCGATGAAGACTATGTCAGAGCAAAGTTAATCTGGACACATTGAGAGAACATCACCGTTTCTAGTTGACAGCAACTATGTTTTTCTTGGCTGACATTTTGAATCCAGTATGGGGCCGCAAAACGCTTCAAAGCGCTTTAAAGAACTTCTGAATCTAACATTCAAAGTTTAAGATCCCCAGGACTCTAGCTCCTGAATCTTGAATCCATGACTAACAAACGCTTTAAAGCGCTTTAAGGCGTTTTGGGGTGGTTCCCTGCCGGATTCAAGATTCAAGATCTAGAGTTGTGCAAATATTGAATCTTAAGTCTTAGATCCAGAAGTGATTTAAGGCGCTTTAAAGCGTTTTAGGTGGATACAGACATAGTCAAATGTCAGCAGATGCGGGCATAGTTGAATGCTCAAAAATTGAAGTGCCTGTCTCGGGAGACATCGCGCAAAAGTACTGCAAATGTCATTTTTTTTTTAAGGGGGAACAATATATACATATATATGGTCCCGTGTTCCGTGTTGCTACCCCCCCCCCCCCATATGGTATGGTCCCCCAGGACCCCCCCCGGCCCGAGACCGCGAGCCCCCGGATCCTGGCACCTACGGTCCCACCCCCATCCCGACCCCCTGAACTCGCACCCCCCGGCACCCCCACCCCCAGAACAAGCCAACCCGCAACCAACCATAAACCAACCCTAAACTAACCCTAAACCAACCCTAAATACACCCTAAACCAATCCCTAAACCGTAGACCTCTAAACCTAAACCAACCCTAAATCAACATAAACCAACCCTAAACCAACCCAAAACCAACCCTAAACTAACCCCAAATACACCCTAAACCAATCCCTAAACAATAAACCCTAAACCTAAACCAACCCTAAACCAACCCTAAATACACCCTAAACCAAACCCTAAACCAAACCCTAAGCCGTACACCTCTAAACCTAAACCAACCCTAAACCAACCCTAAACCAACCCTAAATCAACATAAATCAACCTAAATCAACCCTGAACCAACCCTAAACTAACCCTAATTACACCCTAAATATACCCTAAACCAATTCTAAACCAACCCTAAACCACCACAACCCAACCACAGGACCACAACCACGGGGGGGGGGGTACTTGTCTGACCCATGACCATTGGGGGGGAGGGGGGGGGGGCTGGCAACGCTGTACCATATATATATATATATCTATATATATATATATGTATATATACATATCCTTGTTACGCTTGCGCACATACACTTTATGTATGATTGTTACAATGTATATATATATATATATGGTCCCGTGTTCCTAAATCAACATAAACCAACCCTAAACTATCCCTAAACCCTAAACTAACCCCAAATAATTACACCCTAAACCAATCCCTAAGCAATAAACCCTAAACCTAAACCAACCCTAAACCAACCCTAAACTAACCCTAAACCAACCCTAGATACACCCTAAACAAAACCCTAAACCGTAGACCTCTAAACCTAAACCAACCCTAAATCAACATAAACCAACCCTAAACTAACCCGAAACCAACCCTAAACTAACCCCAGATACACCCCAAACCAATCCCTAAACAATAAACCCTAAACCTAAACCAACCCTAAACCAACCCTAAACTAACCCTAAACTAACCTAAACTAACCCTAAACCAACCCTAAATACACCCTAAACCAAACCCTAAACCGTACACCTCTGAACCTAAACCAACCCTAAACCAACCCTAAATCAACATAAGCCAGCCCTAAACCAACCCTAAACTAGCACTCTAAATATACCCTAAACCAATTCTAAACCAACCCTAAACCACCACAACCCAACAGGACCACAAGCACAGGGGGGGGTAATTGTTTGACCCATAACCATTGGGGGGGGACTGGCAACGCTGTACCATACATATATATATATACATACATATAGCTATATGTGTATGCTTATAATACAAAGCCACACATTGGCCACCCAGAGCTGCAAAAAGGGCCCTGCGCCGAGGAAGGAGTCGCTGGCCTCGCGGAAGGTGCTGAAGAGCACCCAGCCCCCAGAGGGCTCTGCGGCGGCTCCGGAGCCGGAGCCGGAGGAGGAGGCGCCAGGGACGCATGGAAAAGAACATGCAGGTGACTGAGTCACACGTTTGGACTTGGGGTTTGGGCGGGTTGGGGGGGTTGGGGGGATTGGGGGGGGGGGTACATCCGTCAGATGGTTCGGTATGGCTTGGCCTGGGACGGTCGGATGACGTCGGACGCCCCCAAAACGACCCCGTGTCTTTTTAATTGTTTCTTGTTTTTTTCGGCGGCTGCGGGCCAAGGTCAAGGGTGGCCAAAAAAGCCAGGAGAAGTTACATGGGGTGTTAAGGTTTAACATTTGGTGGACGTAAATGTCCATGTACATCATGTACAAAGGGATTCACACCCAGATGTTGTATCCGGGTGTTTCTCAAAATGGATTTTGGACCGAGCCCAAACCCTTCCGGCCCAGTTGTGCTCTTTTCCGAGTCTTTGGGGCCATTTGCTTTCCGCACGCCTTTTTCTGTTGAGTCCCTTTTGGTTGGTTTTGGCCATGAACCAAAGGCAACTTGTTGCCATGCTTGGGGCCACTCCCGATTTGGCTGAAAGCAAACACGCCGGTTGCTTGATACGTTTGGGGTTTGGAACAATTTGAGTGGCAAGCAAGAAAATTTGGGTACTTGTTCGGGCCGATCCGCTCGGCAACAGAGATTCAGACAGGTTTGACATAGTGACCAGTCGCTTCTGCACTGGAAGTCGGCATAAGACGAGGCCCAGATGGAATCCAGGATTCAGTTGAGGCTCATAGGCTCATTTCCCAGCATCCAACCGGTTTTCCTTCAAGCTCCTGGATGCCATGAGCTGCCGGAAAAGAATTTGCAGAACTTGGAGCTTACCACATGGACG